AGGTTTGGTGGGCCATGGAGGTGGGATCGATTCAATGTTTGTGTCGCGGTGGCGCCTCCAGCCATTGCGTCACCCGCGCCTTTCAATGTTATATAAAAAGTGTTAATCGTAAGGACTGCAGATTGAAAAAATGTGTTTATTTATTTGAGTGTGATATCTATAACATTAATAGGATGTTATGAGAATAAGAAGTGCAAACCATACATTGCATGGAAATCTATTGGTCTACTCCGAGTATACAACTACACTGTAATTCACCTGTGCAAGTCTTCTGTGACTACGCACCTTGTCCTATGAAAATACTTCTCTAAATATCGGATTTCAGTGTCTATGTACAGCATAGATACTTGAGTGCTTTCCTCAACCGCAACAGTCTGTCGGAGCGAAACAAACTTGTCCGAAAAAAAGTTTTTTGCAATTTACTAGCTGTAGAAAATGGTTTTTCAGAACTGCGCCTAGCGCAAGGATCTTCGTTGGATAACCTATCGAATAAACACAAAAACACCAACAAAAAATGAAGATTAATATGGCGAAGCAAGTGACCACAGAAGAGATGAGTTCGTTCCAACTCACACCGTCCCAATTGCCTGCTACGCCAAGTATGAATGGAAATCCAATCCCGTTGGGCTCTAGTTGTTCAATGTGCGATGCAGCAGCTACAACAATGTTGATTTCGGCGACATCTTCCTATCTCGTTGAACAATAATTCGCTAGTTTAACGGTTGTAAAAGGCCAAATTACTTCCACATTTAATATGTATTCTTTATTTGATGAGCTTACACGAGGTTGATAAACATATTTATTTTCTGCTAACGTTTTGATGTCTTCGTCTTCATCAGAGCCGATGTCGGAAGGTTTCGGAAAGTCGGTTTCCAAATATTACTTCCGCATTTTTCAAACTTCTTTTGGGACTTAAATAGAGGTATAATTTCTGTCACTGAGCTATAAGTGTGAGGAACGCGCTTGTTCTACGCTACTAATAGAACGTTGTGCTTCCTTCTGCTCTAACTGTTCGTCATGGGACTGAGCATAAAACAGGTACAATAGAAGTTTGTTTAACATGTTGTCAAAAAGATGATCATTGCCACTGATCTTTTCAATCGCTTGAGCAAAGGAAGTGTCGAAGGAAATTCGGCGGTACTATGAGAATAAAAAAAGAGAACCGAAAAATAGGTCTACTAAACTCATCTGCTCACTCACATATATGAAGCAGACAAGTCAAAAGTTGACTGGACTATTTAGAATCACAGAGTGTCTTGTAATTTAATCTTTATCAACGGTTCCTTAGGCAGTGCCGGTCGTCTTTATGGAGTTGAAGAAGCTTACTAAACGACTCACAAGCGAGAAGAAATGTTTTTGACGTGGATGGCAATAAAGGCTATGTTCGCTACATTTACTACCAGAATAGTTTATTATCAAAAAACATCTAATTATCGTACTTACTTAGAACCATTGGGCAAATCTCCATTAAGTATGGCATCCATACACTCGTAGATTATAGAAATTACACAGACCGTCCATTAAATCAATTTTTGTCTGTCATCCACACAACACCTTTTCAACTGCTCTACCGCTCTCATTGAATCAATAGCGTACTTTTGTTATTTCTTTACTTTCTGATTGGTCTGCGATTTTTTGAAACAACCTGATACTCCGGACGGAGTATATGAGGAACCTTCGTTGTTTTTCACAGAATGCTGCTCTTTTTTTTAAATTTTATGTGGGCAGAAACAACGCAGCATGGAGATCGCAACACTTCCTTCATTCGGCTCATTGTCCTTCGTCTCGCATCTGTCACCATCAAAACTTTCTCGATTTTTCTATGGTTGCAGCCACCAATTCGTGATTTTGTTTCCTTCATGAATTTCTTTTAAGAGTGGTTGCGATGATCCTCACTAGAACGGTGGAGCGTTTCCAGATCTTCATCGCAACCAATCAACAGCTTTTGTGAATTGAAAGTGAAAGTGTTTTTGTTGAATTAGATAGATCTCTTATTGTTTTACATAATTTTTTACCCGACCTGTCATTATATCTACGCTGCGGATCCCAGCGCTTCTCGAATTCGATCCGTTTTCCTCGCATTTATCATCCATAGCGGTCTTCGAACACTTCGCATTTTCTTTTAGGTGCTGCTTGAGGATTCCCTCTCCTTTATGAATGTAGTAGAATGTTGGTCAACTCAATTCTCCATGCAGTCTTGGAGATAGTCGTGCTAAACTGTTCCTACTGGTATTGAAGGAGATCGAACTAGCTCATTCTGCTTCCTGATCACCGACACCACTAGCCATTAAGTATAAGTATCTAGATTTCTTTATATGATCTTATAAACTGATCTTCTTTAGCTGACGCGAGGTTAGTATAGGTCTTCGTTGTCGTTGTCGTTGTTGTTGGTGTTGTTGGTCGATGGCTGACGTTTCGGCGATTTCGCCTTCCTCAGAGCCTGGTCGTATTTTATGTTAGAATGCTTTAATTATTCGGTGGAAAAAAGCTAAAGTACTAATGAAACAAACTTTTAAATAGATGGTGGGTTAGGATGCTACGGACATATGTAGTTCTACGCCATATTGAACAGAAAGGCTACTCGCCGTGATGTTACGAGAGGGACCGGCCCACGCGTTGTTCACGTGGGTTCGCGAGCAAGACACACCCCGAGGTCAAAATATCATTCTGAAATAGGGCTCCGGTTCACGTGTGATAGTGAGGAATTCGTCTTTACGGTTCATCTTTGGATTTCTGAAATTTATCCAAAATGTCTCAAGAGTCTTGCCCGTTGATGTTTTCGATTCCTGCGCTAGTTTCCGCACAATCAGTTCAAAATCATCGCCGTTGTGCTTTTGTGCCCTATGGGTACCTAGAGGAGCGTTTTGACTAATTTTAACTTTCCCATCTAGATTTTCTTTTATGCGGACAGAAAGTGGTTCTACCCGTTTCACCAATATATTCCTTACCGTATGCGTTACTTGAGATCAAGTATATTATACCTGAACTCATGCAATCCCCGTCTCTCCCGTTATTACAGATCATACAGTTTTCTGAGCTGCACAAACGATCATAGAGACGGTTGCGAACTAACTGACGGGGTTAGGTGTTGGGTGGGATGTCAGTAATCGTTACATAATTTTCAAGACCACTTTTCCTTAAGCAGCTCCTAATGGCGCGACTTATTTCATTTGATATGAAGGATAGCTTAAAAGGTATCTTACTTAAGTCTGAAACATTATTTTGGGGGACTACCCTATGTTTTTGTCTAACCCGCGTGGCTTCTACTTCGTAGCCATTGGAAATGGCTATTTTTCGTGCCAGGTTTTGTGATTCCTTCCTTTTTTCTTCTCCTGTGCACACATTTTTAGCCGTACGATACATGTTTTTGATAAGTGCTTTTTTCGTGTGTGAAGGATGAGAGGAAAGGTAGTGAACTAGTATGTTTTTGCTACTTGGCTTACGATACCATTTTGTTATATAGCCACTTTCTGAGAGCTTTATTTGGATGTTTGAGACTGGAAGCCAGTTTTCGGTTGGTTTTTCTCGTGTAAATTTTATATACTCTGACTGTCAGTTTAGCAATTTGAAGCACTCATCCATCTGTTCTTGTGTGGAACAGACGATGCAGCAGTCGTCTTTCTAACGACAGTAGAGTAAAGGTCGGTGATCGAGAACTGGAGCTTCCACTTTAGACATGAAAACGATGGCAAGGCTTGGTGCTAAACGCTGTCCCATGGCCAATCCTCTAATTTGTACAAAATATTTTCCGGACCTCCTAAAGATTGACCAACTAAGAAACTGTTTTGAGGGAGTCATTGGTTGCGCAGTCGACAAGCCGTACATTTTTGTTTTCTTCTCGTGCTGTACGAGCAACTCGAGAATGGCTTGCATTGCGGAGTCATTGGACACGTTGGTATAAAGTGAACTAACATCGAATGACTCCATTACATGCGTGCTGTTTGGTCGCGCGCGCCGTAGGTGGTCTAGAAATATTTTGGTGTTAGGTAGATGGGTTGGAATAAATTTTGGCAGCCGGGTTAGGATAAGGTTTGGGAACCACGTTATTCTATCCGTTGGCCCGCCTATACAACTGATGATAAGCCTAACTTTATATGATGATGGGTTCGTTGATGTAATATCATCAGTTGAAGTAAGCTAATGTGTTTTAATGAGCAAGTAAAGGACAGGGCAAATTGGATGTTCGTTTTTTCGAGAATTAACTGAAGGCTCTAAACCACGACCTCACGTGAACAACACGTGGGCCTACATTTGACCGTAGCATCCTAACTGACCATCTATTTAAAAGTTTGATCTTCATTAATGCTTTGGCCTTTTTCCATCGAATAATTAAAGTATTCTAATATGAAATACATTCAGGCTCTAAGGAAGGCGAAATCGCCGAAACGTTGGTCGTCGACCAACAACACCAACAACAACGACAACGAAGGCCTGCCTACCTATACCAGCCTCGTATCAGCTAAAGACGATCAGTTTATAAGACCATATAAATAAATATATCAACTATCCTTGCTGAGGTTTATAGAAAGTCGGTCTTTTGATTTATCTAGATTTCTGTTTGCTCATTCTGTTCTAGCAACCAACTCTATCTGGTGCCGTTTGTTGTTTGCAGTCATTATTTTCACTTTTCTTTTTGCTACCGTGTCCTTCGTCATTTTCCTTTAGACATAATTTCTAAACGGTGCAAACTTCATGGTTATTAATTAATGTGTACTAATGGACAAAAGCATATCTTGAAATTCACATTCTCCGCATAGAACTTGTTTTTTTTTAAGTTACACTCATACTAGGGAGGTGATCGTATTGAGGATAGAATGTTGGTGGTTATTTGGCTATTCGCCTTTATTCAATTTTCATCAGGTGAGTAGAGCAACGTCTTCATGTACGTACTTGTTATCAGATACTTTTTGTTTTCAGTGTACTTTGAAGTGGCCCACTTTTCTTGCAGTGTAGTGTATCTCCACATCAATGTGTACTTTGTTCATTGTAACACCTTTCCTATGGAACCTTCCAGCTTCAACTTTACATTTTCATTCAGTGAGATTTTTCAAATTCTAGCTGACCAGTCCTGTGCCCGAAAAACGTATAAATCCAGTGACGTCAACATTGTATGTGTTTGTAATTCGACGTTCTGCGATGATATTGAGGTGATTTGTGAAATTCTCTTATGATTGATTGTTGATGCAGCGTTAGGTACAATATTACTTGAGAGGAACGTAGAGCATGACCCTCCATGGCGCACTGTGTAATGTGCGAGCCCCGGAAAGGGAAGTCATGGTTCAATCTAGCCCGGGGTCCAAGTTTTGCGAATATCTCAGCATCACTGTGGTTGAATTTCTCTTATTTTTTTGCTGCACAGAGATAGAACCAATCATATAAGTTTTGTTTTTCAATTTTCTAAGCCCGCATTCACATCGACTGTGCGGGGCAGGCACTTCTCATGTTCGTTTTCTCGCATCCAGCATCCACGAAGAAGTCTTCCAACTTTCTATGCGTGGCTTCGACTGCTACTTGAGGACCTTCCTTTCATTACAAATGTGGCTGAATGCTGGTCGAGTCGATTCTCACTGGAGTCCTAAGATAACACAACTAGAGCGTTCCGATTTGCATTGGAGACCGATTTTTCCTGGACAAGTTCGGTACCGACTTCCCGACTCCGGTTGGACAAGAGGCTCGGTGTAAACCTGGAGTGGGATCGAAGCAGCACCGAGTTCGTGATGGCCGACATCATTTCCACTGTGCTATTCGCTCTGTAAAAAACTAATAACAAAAATTAAAACTTGAGGAAATTGGTGTTGTTAACATGAATGAGTGAACATGTCGGTAAATAACTTAATGTTGCCACAGACTTGTATGCTAAGCCTATGTGTAAAGCAGGTCTAACAAAAAAAATTTCGGGTACAGGAATGTAAATTGCAAAGGTTCATAAATTTTGCTGGCTTCTTAATAAAAACGCGAAGTCAGTTTTTTAGCCCGTTATCGAAATTCCCAGTGAGAAAGCCGTTATGTACGTCTCATCGCTTGCTGGAAAACGCTTTGAAAAGTCATTACTACCAATTTCCACGGAAAATGTTCCTGATAAGTGCACGATTTCTTTAGTGTTTGAAAGACTGTGTTTGGAAAGTATAATTCGAAGGGAATGTTCTTTTTTACTAGACAGCGTGAAGATCGTGGTCGACGCAGGAAAACAGTACCAATCCATAATTGGATTCGGTGGAGCATTCACGGATTCAGTTGGAATCAATTTGGATTCGCTCAGTGAACGCACTAGATATAAGCTATTGGAATCCTACTTTGGCAAAAATGGTTGGTTCTGTTTTATTATATAGTAATAAAAGTAATGACGTAGTTAAGTATTTGTTGTGACTTTTCTTATGATAATGAAGAGAACAAATGTTGGTCACTTGTAAACGTAAAACCATATGACGTCTCTACTTGATTAGGTCATCATCCAGGCATTCAGTACAGCTTGGCACGGGTTCCTATTGCAAGCACAGATTTCTCTACAAGAGAGTACAGCTATGCCGACGAAGTTGGTGATCTGAAAATGGAGAAATTCTCATTAGCAGACGAAGATTTTAAATACAAGGTGACTCAAAACGAATAAATCACGACCTTCTTCATAATTTCCTATTTCCTGGTGTACGGTTCACGCATTGCTGTACTATGTGAATTATGTTGCATGAGCCTTTGAAAACATGGGTATTCTACCAAAACCACCCTGAAAGTTTGAGATATCGCTCGGTGTAGCTACTGTAAAAGTTGAATTATAGTTTTATCGGTGGTAATTTTCTATTGTAAGCTTACATTCATTATATTTGACTCAGATTTACTTTCTTTTATAACACGCTGACGTTCCCCGACTTTTCGATAGTTTAAAATGAAGTGTTTATTTAGCACTGAAATCAAATATCGAACGGAATTGAAGCTTAGAATTTAGATACCTTACATTTTGTCAGCAATGAACCTAACTAGTGGTAATATTCGACTTTTTGCATCACCATGGAGTGCACCCGGTTGGATGAAGACGAATGGTCGTATGAAGGTGAGCCTCGTTCGTTTGCCACCGTACGTATCAGCTATTAGTTTTCTAGTTCTTTCACACGTAATTAAGAAAGGTGTCGAAAAACTCCAATAAGAGTTTAAGCCATTTAGGGTGGTGGATCATTGAAAGGTGAAGTCAATGGAGAGTACTATCGTTCGTATGCTACTTATCTCGTGAAGTCAGTTCTGATCTCAAGCTTCTTCATAGGAATTAATTAACAACAATATAATCAATCCATTTTGGCTCACACCAATTCTTGTAGACGCAGTTTCGAAATACGTGCAATTACGGAGTAATCGTTCAACGGTGTTATTTCCTCGTTGTTTTGTCACAGATTTTTCGACGAATACGTGAAGAATGGCATTCCATTTTGGGGTATGACCATGCAAAACGAGCCCTCAACTGGTGCAATACCGTGGTACAAATGGCAAACGATGTTTTTCAATCCACAGATACAGAGGTACCTCTGGCTAGTGAACAAGTCTGGTTGTCTTTGATTGCTTCTAAAACAGGGATTTCGTCAAAGTTACTCTTGGTCCGCTATTTAAAAGCAAAGAATCTACTATGCATCTGAAAATTATGGCATTCGATGATAATAGGATTTTTTTGCCGGGTTGGGCTGACACGGTGAGTCGTTCACCCAGATTTTAATATTTTATATGGAAATTATGTCACAATCTCTGAATTTGTGGTCACAATTTGTTATTGGCAAGATACTGTCACATTAGAGATCGCACTATTGCTGATTAATTCGCCAGTGATTAAAGATCTATGGCGATCCAAATGCAAGCAAGTATGTGGATGGAATTGGAGTGCACTGGTATCTGAACACCCTTATGCCGGCAGCGGTACTTACGACAACTCATAACAGACATTCAGATAAATTCATACTCGCCACAGAGGTAAAGAAGTGTTGGTATTCCGCGCTAGGAAATAGGTCTACTTGTCTAGCGATTCGTAGTGCTTGGTATTCCATGTAAGCAAGTGAATTCAACAATGCTCTAGGCACTATGCTTCACTTAAAATTTCTTCACTTTCAGAGCGTCAGCAACACTTGTTTTTCATATGTCAGCGAACCAAATATAATTTATTATCTTCAGGCATGTGCTGGTGCGCTTTTGGTTCGTGGACCTATAATGGGCGACTGGTATCGAGCGGAAAAGTACGCTGCAGATATAATCACGGTATTCACGACTCTAGTCTTCGAATTGTGGTTCAATGTTGATTGATCTAATGCTACAATATACAACTTCGACATGTCTGAGTAGCGGACAAAAAGCAAGCTTGACATGTCTGAGTAATGGCCAAAAACAAGCTTGACATGTCTGAGTAGTGGACAACAAGCAAGCTCAATTATATTTTATAATTACATTTTTTGCAATAGGACCTCAGCAATTTCGTAGCTGGCTGGACTGACTGGAACATATGTCTGAATGAAAATGGTGGGCCTAATTGGGCGAACAATTTTGTGGATTCACCAATTATTGTAAACGCGACAGCAGACGAGTTCTACAAGCAGCCTATGTTTTATGCGATGGGACACTTCAGGTACGTAATTGTTAATTGGTTTGCCTTCTTGCTTATCACTCTTGTTGAGAACAATGCGAATTGTAGTAATTAAGCAATTCGCAGCTTATGTCGATATGAGTTTTATGATTCACTTTCGTCAGCGCCTATATTAAGTTTAAAAATAAGCTTCCTAGGTGTCACCTTTGTTCCAGCGTGAAACTAGTTTATCGCTAAAATCAACTGTTTCAATTTGCTTTAACGACCTACCCCATTCAATGTAGCGGCGTAGAGCTTAATTAAGTTTTACTCCTGTATATTGGATGCATGCGCCCCCAGCAGCGATGTTGAACAGTGAGTGATATGTCAGATGTTCTTTAGCAAGTTCATTAAACCGGGTGCTGTGAGGATTGACACGGACATTGTTGGATCGCACACTGTACTCGCTACTTCTGTTGTGTACCAAGGTATGCTCAAGTATCAACAATGCGTGTTGTTTAGTTATTAAAAGGTAGTGACAATGGCAACTAAGAAGACAAATGTTCCAAATGTAGCCCGCACAAAAGCATAGGGTATAGATTACCACCTGGTAAATAGTGGGTGCTCTTTCTTTTAAGAGATGGTTGAAGTGAAAAATAAAAGCGTTACTTTTGAGATATACTTAGGGAAAGACGTTAAAAGGCTAGGTAGTCAGTATTAGGAACGATGTGAGTTGCTGCCTGCTGATTTCAATAACATGATAACTCAATGGTTAGGAACCAACACTAACTCCTGTTGTTACATTTGAGGTCGCCGTACAGTAATTCTACTGAACAACCAGTCCTCACTCACTCTTGTTTCCATTCATGACGCTGTCACAGGACATCATCTTCAAGCCACCGTTGATCCGCACTCCATAGTAACAATTTTCTGGGACAAGCAGTGATTTATACGCTACCATTTTGTCATAGGTTTGTATGTGTACTCATTTATTATTATTATTATTATCATTATGTATCTGTATTTGTATGTGTCTGTATCCGTATTATTATGTGCCTTATTTAAGGAGCAGTAGCTTATATCTACTCTTCGTAGTCAATACTTTTTTAGAAATTGTAGTGCAAATCAGGTTAATATATCACCTCCTATAAATTAGTTTTGGTAAATTTATCTGTATCTCTGCATTTCTCACCATTCCGTATTCATTTTTGCTGATCAATGTTACTGGGTGTAATACTTGTTATTTGATACTTGAATGGCCCGTCCTCATTGGCTGTGCGTGCCCCGGCATAATCTCCATTTTTCGGAGATTTGCTGGTTAAACCATTATGATTCCCTGGAATCCCGAGGTCAGCCTGGTCAAGGTCTGCGTCTACCCCAGGTCTTCACCGCGACAGGCAGTCGCAGTCCTTGTGGATCAAAGGGAGATTTGCCACCATGCGACTTTGACACCAAGAAGGTGGCGAATCCTGGTATTGGTTTACTCTTAGCTAAGCTTCCTAATGGAAACATCGGTCTCCTTCTCAGCTTGGGAGACTCTACCAGGGGATGGATCCCTTGCTCTATATCGCAGCCCGGTACTCAGGAACACCTCCCAGCCACGAGGAGGCGGTAAACTGTTGGGAAGACATTGTGCCTAAATATTTCTAGAAGTCTGCTTGACAACAAAGTATTTTCGTAAGTGTTAGATGAGTGTGTTGTGTATCTCACTGCTCTTGTTAATAATCGTATTTCTCAAAAAAAAGATCAAAGAAAAATCACATCTATAATGCAAACATATTTCCTCCCTTGAATTTTGGGGCGTTCTATTTTTTTTTCTGTGTAAGAAGAAAACTTATTGAAAGTAGTTCTAGAATTTCTCTGTCATCAATCCTGGCGTCGAACACTCCGATAGTGATTTTGTAGGAGCCTTCGTGTGCCCTAGAAACGGCTCGAAGTCAAGGTACTAGTGATTTCGTCTTGATTGACTAGTAACTGTGAGAAGTGACTAGATTTCATCTTCATCGTTACTTGGTGCTAGCCTATAAGCAACGAAGATAACCGTATTGCCTCAGTTTTTTTTCAATTGTGAATCTCGTACTTGAGCAGTAAGTTATTGAAAGGAGTTGGTTTCTATAGTAAGACAGATGTTAGCAAAAGCAGATCGTGTTGGATGGCAATAGATTAACACTATTCGATATAAAAGGGCACTGCCGAGTGAGATTACTTCGAGTAGTATTCCACCCCAATGGATTTGATTCGATACGACTACAAAGTCTCACATCACGAGAACGTCTGGCTGTAGAAAACCGGCTGGAATTATTGCAGCTCTGAAGAAGTTGAAGTAGTCGTTACGTTGGTCACGATAAAGAATTGTTCCAACGTACCGTAACATCAAAAATCCAAAAAGAACTCGGGTATGCTCATGAATAGCTTCAAAATACAGGCCTTTTCCTAAATTTACGTTCACGATGCAGTCACATGCACAAGCATACTACACAGGCATTGGTAGGCCAATTACCCAATGGTAGGTCTATTTCACATGTAGGGGTTGGACATCACAGTGGAAGTAATATCGATGGTTATGAGCACAGTGCTGGTTCGATCCTGCCCACAGCTTGCCAAGCCTGTCATCACTCCGGGGTCGAGGAATTGATACTGGACTTGCCCGGATAAAAACTCTCTGCTTTCAATTCAATTGGGAACGCTCTAGTCTGCGTATCTCGGATCTCCAGTGAGGGTCAATTCGACGAGCACTCTACAACATGCAAGATAAAATGGGAATCCTCAGGCAGCAGGTGGAGCCACACCTAAAAGTTTGAAGACCTTAATGGATGATTGATGTGAAGAAACGAATGGAATATGTGAAAGGCTGGGATCCGCATAGTAGATGTGAAGACGGGTCATATAAAAAAATTTCATGTGTAACATTTGAGCTCTAATTGTCCGAGGCTCTAGAGACGAGTATCCTACTCTCTCTCTCTCTCTCTCTCTCTCTCTCTCTCTCTCTCTCTAATCTGAGAGCGTCGCAGAACAAGTACATAGCCGTCATTAATTGCAACGTGTTTTTGGACTCTTCGGTCATCTGATGAGATGTGAAGTGTGATAATGACTAATAGTTTTTCGGAATGTATCACGTTAATGAATGCTGCGGATTCAGTTCACGATTTACTTCAGATAAAAGAAAGCATGTAGTTCATATTACAAATTAATCAAGGGAATGGTTTCTTTTACGGAAATGTACATTGAGTAAGCGAGTTCTTGTTCGAATGGCGCTGATTGATGAAGAGACTTGTAGTAGATTCACAATACTCCTTGGAGTACCATTACCGAGGTCAGCCTGGCTAAAGTCTTCCTCAGGTCTTCACCACCACAGGCAGTCGCAGCCTCTGTGGATCAGAGGGAGATTTGCCATCATGCGACTAGTTTAATATCAGAACGGTGGTAGATCCTGGTATTGGTTCACTCCTAGCTGGGCTTCCCGATAGAAAGGCAGGACTACTCAGCTTGTGAGACCCTGCCAGAGAGATGAGTCTCCCCGCTGTACATCGTAATCCGAGAAGCAGGAAGACCTCTCAGCCACGATGAGGCGGTAAACCGTTGGGAGGTGATAGCTAATAACGAAACATAAATGAGAAAACGTTCGGCATTGATCAATTATTGAGGAGTGCACCATGCATTCCACTCCATTGGCATCAACCTAACTCAAAGTTAATAGTTAAAATTTCAAAGTTGGTTAAATGCGTACCTCGCTCATACAATGAATCCAGGTAACCCATCACTGTGATAAGTGCTATCGTCCCAGACAAGTCTGCTATCAGTTTGGCGACCCGAAAGGTAGAAGAGTTGATGATTCTCGGATGTGGGATAGAACTAACGACCACGGTGTATTGAAGCGGTACAATTAAGCGCTGCACGCTTCTCATTTTCATAGACAATATAAAACATAAAACATTATCTTAACCTTTCTATTTATTGCCTATTCTTTTTAAAGGCAGGGTATGTTGCGAAATGTAACTTCTGTAATGCTGAAATATTTGCAAAACTCCGGACCTAAGGTGTCTGCGGTAGGGAACGAACGAGCTCTTGTCCTTTCCGGGGAGTAAAAAGATCGATAGAACTAGCTGAGAGACAGGTGAAACAAAGGACCCGCATGGTGTGGTGGTGAACGCATTACTTTTCGGAAATGACAACCCCGCGTTTGTTCCCAACAGCAGACACCTGCGCTCCGGAGTTCTGCAAATATCTCAACATTACAGAAACATAAAACGTTCTTCGGGCGGTTGACGTACAACAATGAAAGTTTATCCCCAGTCCTTTAGGTCCTTTAGACAAACGGACGCAGACCCTCTTGACAGACACAGATAAACCCTATACAGTCTAATTTGAACTCTTAAATTAAGCAAGAAAGGTTGATAGAGATGTTTGTTAGGCTAATATTTCGACGTCTAAGCGCCCTGCACCACACACGTGGAATCGGTCCCCGCCCCATGGCTCACCAAGCCTTCCATATCTCCGGGGTCGGCAAATTGGAGACTTGTATGGAAGGATAGCAGCACTGGCTCGATACATCGGCAGCTTTCTGCGAGTCATTGGAAAGGCCAGATATGCATTCAATCACCTCCAAACGATGCTTAATGAAATGGAATGCATGGCGCATCCCTCATGGATTGATCAACGCCGACAGCTTTATCCTCTACCCTTTCTATCAACCTCGTGTAAGCTCACTAAATGACTGTCGGTTTCAAATTTAAGCAGAAGAAATATTAACGAGTCTTCTTGCGAGATCCTCATGTTCTCATTGTACAGTGTTTCCAGATTCTAAACATATTTGTTGACTGTCATCGTAGTTCTTCATTTTCTTCGGCAGTTTCAACTTGCAACACATTAAGCGTTGAAAACAGCAAACATGCAGAAAAGAATGTTTTAAATCTGGCCTGTGGGCAGACTTTGTGATCGAGCACTGTATCAAAATTAGTGAATCGTTTTTATAGTTTTGACGAAAAAGAAGTGCTACGAAAGTTTACGTCCTCGGATATTCCCTTCATCAACATTAATACATACAAGAGTAAGGCCGAATCAAATAAGTAGAAGTAGTAGAAAGAAGACCGCAAAATGAAACTCAGCAAAAAAAAAATATCGAGTCTATAACTGTTGCACACGGTTAAAAGAGTTTTTAGAAATACGAAATAAAACAAACAAAGCTCTGACTAAAGCGGTCTCTTCGAAACAATAGCACTCAAATCGAAGGAAGGATAGAGCTAAAAGTATAAAAAGACCAAATTAGCTGCCTACAAAAATTTGTGACTTGCTAAAAGAATTAGATCGTCACTTATTTTAGAGCCGCCAAATATGGAAAATGTAAATTTAGAATCGAAACAAAATCGAATTTTGAATTCTGATCTCGATTAGAACTTCAGCCAAACCTGTTCATAGAGCTCTGCGTAACAATGAAAGAATGACATATATTGAATACATTAGCGTTTAATATATAACGTGGTTTCAATTGACGCACACTCGATCAATGGACACTCTCTGTATTAGTAGACGGCCTTTGTCTCACAGGAAATTGGACTGCGTTACGTCCATAGTTATTGATTGTGTAAGAGCATAGGTTCGACTTTTCATAACGAAACGAATTTATCTTTGAAAATAAGCTTTCGGTAAAATGGAGTTCCAATTCAAAGGTAATAAATCAGAAATACAAGTATAAATCTACGAGACTACAATAATTAGAAACCAACAAGAACAAAGTCATTGACTTAAACGGCGCTTATAAAATTTCTCTGCTTGTGTTCTGTACGATAAATATGTGTTCCAGAAAAATGCCACCACTTGTACAATGATTACACGCATATTCAAAGGTATCAGATAGAAGTTGATAAGTTGAACTGCTGGCCAAATCTAAAATAACATCAAGATTACTGGTGAAAACACCAAATCATTGAAAAAATGTTACCTATCCTTGGTCGCAGGGGTTGGTGGAGTGGATAGCATGTCAGCACCCAGAAAAGGTAATCGCGGGTTCAAAGCCTAAATGAGGTTCTAAGTTTTTGGCGTATCTCAGCATTTCTGGATCTATGAACTGTATCAACCGTTGCCTCGTTGACCGTCGACTGATTCCAGCAGATGTCAGTAAATCTTCCATTTCTTCGTCTTGTTTGCAAGAGTAGCACTGCGGATTCTGCTCGCTCTGGGAACTCGTTGAGCTTCCTATCATTTTTTCAGGATTTTCGTGAGGAAATCTGACAATGGGGCTTCTCTACATTTGACATCCGAATCCTGTCACTAACGACTGATGTCCATCGTTTGTCGTTCAAACGAATTATATATCCTGCCCACCTTTTCCCTTTCCACAGTTTGGCTGATAGAACGGCATCTTCGATTTTTGATCTTTGGCGTAGGTCGGACCTTCAAATCTTCTCTCTCACTTGCATGATACGACATACTCCTAGGATAGCCGGTTCGACTACGCGTTCTGTAAGGCTTCCACTCTGCTAAAGCAGGTACCAGGTTTGTGGTGCACTCGTTGAAGCAGGGACAATTGTGGAGTCGAAAATGTTGGCCGCAAGTCCAGTGTTCTTTATTCTCCTCTCTACATTCTCGGTTCTCTCGAAGCTCTCCAAGCTCTCCTCGGTTTCTTTTGTTCAACTCCAAAGGTAAGTCTTTCACTATGTTGACTTTCCGACCTAGATAGACGTCACTGTAGAATTCGGAGATATTCGTACGGTTGTGTATGAATGGATCATACGAAACCAATCCGCCCTTGATGAACCCCGTTTTTGTGAGAATCATTCGGAGACCAATCTTTGTATAAGCGTTATCAAAGTTAGCTTGCATTCGTTCCATTTGGTTAATGCCTCGTGTTATGAGAACGATGTCGTTAGCAAAGCGAAGATGGTGTAACTGCCCACCATCGATTTTCACTCCTATATTATCCTAATCCAGTGTTCGCATAACGTTCTCCAGGGTGGCACCAAATAATTTTGGCGAGATGGTATCGATTGGCTTAACCTCTCTTTTGACGCCGATGTCAATATCGTTGTTGAGTGGTAATATCTTGGTTGTCCAATTTTATAGAGCTCACGAACAATCTTTATACACTGAGAAGGGAGTCCCTGACTGTGCAGAGCTTCCATGCCTCCTTCTATCTCAACTAGAACAAAAACTTTCCTTAAATCGATAAAAGTGAGACAAAGCATTCTCTTTCACTCTCGCGATAATTAATGGAGCTCTATTATCGTGTGGATGTGGTCCACAGCACCGAATCCTTTTCGAAACAGCGCTTGCTCACAGAGCTGTCCTTTCTGCAGTGTTCTGTTAATGTTGATTAAAATAACCTGAATAAAAATCTATGGAAGACATAAAGAAAGCAGATTGGGCGATAGTTGCCGATATCGTGGAGGTCACCCTTCTTGAACAGTAACACGGTCTTGCTGGTCTTCCACTGAGTAGGTACCTCCTTGTATTCTGACAGGTAACGTGTGAAAAGCCGAGCCAGTGTGTTTACGAGGACTGGCGGAAGGTTCTTCAAGTGTTCTCGTCTTATACTGTCCGGACCTGGTGTTGTTGGATTTTTCACCGACGAAATGGCATATCGGATTTCCGAAGGAAAAATCGGTGGCACAACATATCCATCCTCCTTTATATCATATGACGGAAGGTGGACGTGGCTATCGAAGAGATCTGAGTACTATTCGTGAATGACTTTTTCCATTGTCTTTCTGGAAGGTGCAACTGTTCCGCCTGGTCATCGAAGTTCAGTCATTTTGGTTTTGTAATTCACATAGTTTCGGTGGACTTTGCGAATGCTTCTTCCAGCCTCTGGAGCTTTGACCATAACTGCTGCCCTTCTGTCGTTAAAACTTTCTTTTATCGTCTTTCTACACTGTTTTGCAAGTTCGGATGTGAATTAGCGGTTGCCTGTAGCTCGTGCGTTTCCACGTTCGCATACCAGCTCGAGATGACAGACGTCTCTTGGTGACTTCCGAACTCTCCACTTTCATGTGCTAATGTGAAGATCTTGAATGAACCGATAATATTCTTCGTCGATGTTGTCAAAAACTGCATCTTCCCAACAGCCGACCAATGAATTGAATAAGTCCCAATTAATGGCGGTTTCAAGGCTTCGTTTTTTTAAAACTTAGCAGATTTCTCATCTTTCCGCGAGATATGGAATCTTACACGAAGGAGGCAGTGGTCAGATCCCGGTAGAATTTTGCGACAACAACGACATCGGTTAGATAACACCTTCGACTCACTTTGATGTAATCTATTTCGTTCGTTAGTACTCTTCATTAAAAGACTTCCACCAGCAACATTGAGAGTAAGGCTTCTGGAATTGCAAATTAGCATGAATGGTCTTGGTCGCCATAACGAACTGAGATAGCCGCCAACCCTGATCGTTCCATTCTAATCTGTGAGTCGCAATGTGACGTTCTTCAGACTTTCTTCTGGCTCCAGTCTTAGAGTTAAAATCTCCAGTGTTGACGATAATGAATGCATGGTCTCTTTTGCAGAACTTTTCCTGGTCCATATAGAACGCTTCTTCTTCGTCATAGTCTGATGTCGGCGTGTAAGCGACGAAGATTGTCAAATCCGACATTGTTCCACATCTCTTTAACCGAAAACGTCCGATTCAGTTCAATCCAAGCGGATTGTTAGTTATTCGAATGAATAGATGTTCATGGCCATACTCGTGTTAACGAGAACGCTGACGCCGCTTAACCCTCTGTTGTCGCATGTTCCGAGGTACCGTTCTTTTCTGGTGTCACAGAGCGTTGAATGGGTGGAATTTTCCCGTCTCATTCAGTTCAATAACGTCGCAGCTTATTCTTCTCGCCTACATGATCAAGTTTTCTATTGAGGACTCAAATGCAAGTTAGCATACGTTGTGGATAGGGATCGTCACCTTGGTCCTTCGGGATCTAGGCAGCCTAGAATGGTCTTAAGATTTTAGCAACCTCTCCGTGTTCGCCCTTTGTAATATTACTGCATCGGGGACCCTTTCAGAGTGCGGGAAATGAGGCCCACTTATCTTACTGTTACGCATTTCATACCCACGTACAGCTCGCTGAACTCTGGACGTAGGTACACTTGAAAGTTTTGTAGAACTAACTATGGAAAAAATGCCATGTTACTAATAACATGACAAACTTAGGATCTTCATACTATTTCAGCTTAAAGAAAAAAATCAACCTTCAAATTATTCGCGTAAATCGTCCACCAATCGTTCCTCATTCTTTCGCATGACTCATTCACGCCAACACCTTCTAGCATGCGTAGAACAATTAGAATTGTGGCATGAAAAGGTGGGGCAAAGAAACCTATAAAGAAATCCCATTATAAAAAAGATTTTTCAAATTAAAATAACAAGTATAACATTTGAAAGGACAGGAAGACAAACCTGGTCAATCGCCAGACGTTTGAGTGGTACGATTTTCTGTGAACCTTTCACTCTTTCAAGTATTCTGAACCAAACGTTGAGAGCAGGTGCTTATAAGTACAAATGCGTTGCGCATAAAATAACTCAATCATGTGTAAGACTTGATTCAGCTAACCACTAAGTCACTCGAGCGAGGGCTAGTGAACTGTTTTTGTCCTCGTTGCGTTCCAAAGATTGTCAGTGGGTCTTGGCTGTTTGACGGATACGAAAAGCACGAAGATTCTGATATGACATTTTTTGAAAATTTTATAACAAAAAAGCTGAGTTGTCGAAAGTCTTTTCCGCTTGGGAGACCGCTAGTGTAGGGCAAGAATGGATCTGTTGTGCAGAGCATTCCACAGCTCAATCACTGTGACGCAGCAAACTATTTCAGGTAAGGCAACAAGAAAAAAACCACTGAGATCTTCTACCCTCCAATTAGACGACATAGAAACCCTAATATTCCTAATTCCAATTCAAAGTCTGCATTTAGAGGCATTGAACAAAAAGGACAATGAACATGTATCCACTTCGTCTAAAGTCAATTTGAAAGGCGGCTCATCTTCCAAGTTCTATAGCTATATAATAATTTGCCGACGTAGTTCAATGTAAGAGGCCTTAACAGTTATAATCCTAATGAACCGTTGGTGTTATTACTTAGTTAGTGTTCATCGTTATCACCAAGTATTCTTTATAAATAATCGCTGCTTAGTAGCCTGACTGCGATCCATTTCACACTTCTTATATAGCCCGCCAATGATTTAATTCTTGAATACCTTTTGAATGAGGTTCTATTGCAACATTTGTCTTCGGGTCAGCCTTCACTGTAAGTTGGTTTGCTCGGAGCTCGGATGAACGATTCTAGTCGGTAGTAGCCCAATCGATCTATTTGCAATTTGAGTGGTAGAAAAACTGACATATTGTTATTGTAATAATATTTTAGCATAATAATGCTGAATTAAATCATATATCTCAAACCATATCTCGGCGAGATACTGACAGATTACCTACAGGGGTAACAAATGTTTACTATCACAATGCTAACTTGTTTGCCGCCTACTATAATTTTTCGCGGCAGGGTATAATGCGAAATACAACCACAGCGATGCTGAGATAACTTCTATAATGCTGAGATGTTTGCAAAACTCCGGTCCGCAGGTGTCTGCGGTGGGGAACGAACACGCTATTATCCTTTCCGGGGAGTAACGCGTTCACCACCACACCATGCGGATGCTTCGTTTCGTCTGTCTCTCAGCTATTTCTATCGATCACTGCCATCAGCAATCACCCATCAACGGGACTGATCTGGGGAGCCCAAATCGGCGTTGAACCCAGTTAAGCTCAGGCTGTAGTTGAAATTTTTGTGGTTGTTTATTACCACATGTGTTGTTTTCGCAAAGATCTTCAAAATCCAAACATCTTTGTTTCGGCCAATAAATAAAAGCAATAAAGTTCACTGTGAGACGAGATATGCTTGCAGAAATTTGAATGGTTCAACTAGGTGTTGACATCTATGCATCGATATCAATGCATATGAACACGAAAGTGTTGAGAAATCTCTAGAAAAGAATGTTTGGAACGAAGGCTATTTCTGGGTAGAATTAGAACCAATCAGAAGCGACAATATGTGTTAGAAATGGTCGTTTATTCAGAGATTCTTGAAACAATCTAATCAGTACTTTTGCTTTCATTCCTGAAAATTGGTAGAGAATATGAAGTGGTAGGGAATTAACGTTGACAAGTGGAAAAAAAGGGGGCTGCTCTACAACTGTAATAAAAACGACTCGAGAAGCAAGACAAATCCGACGAATAAACACTGGCCTTTAAAAAATTTAAACTACGAGAATAATCCTAACCCTTTTATTTACTGCCTTCTTCTTTTTAACGGCAGGGTATGTTGTGAAACATAACTCGTATATAATGCTGAGATATTTGCAAAACTCCGGACTGCAGGTGTATGCCGTGGGGAACGAACGCGCGCTATTGTCCTTTCCGGGGAGTAGCGCACTTCACCACCACACCATCCGGATCATTCGTTTTGCCTGCCTCTCAGCTAGCTGCCTCTTTTGCAAATATCTCAGCATTATATATGAGAATAATATTTATCTCATGGTGAATGTTTGAGTACGTTCACCGCTTACCTGAGCGTAATTTAGGAATACCGGTAGCTACTATCGAAAATGAACTAGATTTATTTATATACAAGTAATTGGTTGTAACTGATAAGTCCTTGAATGTATAAAAAAAATGAGGTATAGAAATCTGGTTAACTTCAACTTGTATGACGTACAAATCATATCAAGCGATAGAGAAACATTTCACGAATAGGTGAACAATTTTTCGATGTGCGGCTTGAGGTTCAGTACTAGCCCAATTCATTTCTTAGCAACCTAAAACTTGGGATCACGAACTGGTAGTTATTTCCATCCATTACTTGCATATTGAACACATCAGTATCACTTTTTTATTTATATGATCCAACAGCACACATTCTTCTGATCCTGCCACTTCCATTTAGACCATTGTCTCGCATATGGCGCCTATGAAGCTCTTAAGAGTTGTTTGCAGATTTAGATGCTTCTTTTGCTTCCTTACGAATGACAATGTATGCTGCTCGGGTTGATTCTCGCCGTATTCTGAGAAAGCCTTGCTCGGACGTTCCTAGGTATTCATCACAGTAGTTATTGTGGGCCTTCGTGGGTATGAGCTTGGGAGACATGGTACAAACTTGCCAAGAAGATGGGAGGTTTGGTTCCCCTTTTAAAACAGATAACAATGAATGCGGCTCGCTTCATTTGAAGCCAATCACCGTAAAAGTCTTATTTTATAACTGACGAATGAACTATTGCTATAGTATAGTTAATGAACACATGGCCCGAATAATCTAGAATTAGAGGCGGTGGCTTCTACCTGAACAATAACACACAAATTTATCACCAATACTGTTACAATTGATCACTTCGCTGTTTCAATTTCTATGCACTTCCTCTGTTTGATTTTGTTTTCCAGAAAACGTCTGGATGGTTCGTATCTCTGTCAACGTTGAACATAACTCCATTTGCAGACACACTCTCACTAGAAGGTTATCCTTTTAAAGAAGCAAAATGAGGTTATCCACCTATTAGGCATTACTTAATTTCCCGCTTTTAAATAGGTCTTTGTAGTACTTGAACAACCAATGGTTATGATTTTAAGAATGTAATCTTTATGTTACTAAACATCATGAGCATGGATTCTTCTCATTAGTAGATGATTACTTTGAACACACGGCGACCCTAACCAACTGGCTTTTTATCCAATTAAATGACTTTTGGGACCTACCGACGCATAGAGTACGCTTATCCCATCTTACCATTCCGCGCAGCATCCACAGAGCTCCTAATCTTCTGGAGTTATCCAACGCACAACATTTAGCCGGAGTGCGCACCTCAGATCTTCGAAATCTGTCTCATCTTCGGAATCTAAGAAAATATTTATTGATTGCGAAGCATGTGGGAGGGAACGAAGAAAAGCAGGCATGGCGCAGTGGTCGGAGGCACTTTGCAATACATACAGGAGATCGATCCCCGCACCGGTGGCCCACCAAAAATTGCACGCTTGCGGTCTCGGAAAATTGGCACCAAACCTGTTTGGGATGATAGCAGCACTGGCTCGATACATCGGTAGGCCGCTGCAAGTCATTATGAAGACCAGATATGCATTCAATCACCTCCAACGATGCTTAATGAAGTCGAATGCATAGGAGATACATTAGGGATTGATCAAAGCCGAAAGCTTTATCCTTTTCTTATTTAGTATAATAGACAAACTGATTATATGATAAGAAAAATGGACAACAGATGAACGGCTAGAACAGTGGAGTGGACACCAAAAGAGTGCAAGCGTCTCTTCAACGACCACCCAAACGACGGGCGAAAGTGCTCTTGGCTATCATTGACCATCTGCATTTGCAGATAGAAAATATTTTAGGATTACAGAATGGACCTTGTGGACCTCGCCATGTCCAACAAGTCCACCACAATGAAGGACGAATGTGCGAAAACAAATGGAAAATGTGCTGGGGCCCCGCTAGTAGTGACAACAGACAATCCAAGCTTCCAATTATGTAGGAATAGTCTGCCAATATCGGAGCGATGAGTGGTTGGGATCGAACGAACAACCAAGTGTGTATTACATAGAACATTTAAATCACTGCGCTATGCAGGTCTTCCGTTGAACTAGTTATAGTTATAGCTTCGCCGTTACAGTTCTCAGTTGATTTACCTTCATATTAAATCAACTTATGTGTCTCTCGTTGAACCTCCTATGTGTTTAGGTTGTTTTGTAATTGAAGTTAAAAAGAAAACTTCGGAACACTTCAAAATTAGAGCTTAAAGCCCAGATACCTTATATTACTAAGCAATAAACCTATTTACTGTCAAAAATTGACATTGGCTAAAACAGAGCGCAAATGGATGCATGAAGGGGAATTACCGTGTAGGCGTAAACCTGGTCCTTTAGCAACACAACTTCTAATATTCACTTGTCCATACACATAGGTATTACTTCGTATTTTTGTTGAGCAAACGCGAGGTGTTATTGTTCTTTATTCACGAATAAGCTGACGTTTCGGCGGATTTCGCCTTCTTCACAGCCTGGAAAGGTCAAGTTGACAGCAATCTACTCGGCCAGACGCCTCCATAACCAAACAAAGAAACTCTAAACCAAGATTTCAATCACGTTGAACACAGCTTTGCACACTCACCGCTTTCTATGAGGTTTCCACTAAGTATGTCACGTAGAGACCAACCACACAGAAATCACATGGAAGTATAATGTGCCCCTCACATCAGAAAAGCAGTTTTATATACTGCCCTATATCACGCGTGAAAATGAGGCATTCTTCCCTGCGGTTCATTTTCGGATTTCTGGAATTAATCCAAAATGCGTCGAGAGTTTTTCGCGCCTGTGTTCTTGATTCGCGTGCGAGGATCGTGACACATACTTCGAAGTCGTCTTCGTTATGTCTCTGGGTCCTATGCGTGCCTAGCGGGGTATTTGGTCTATTTTTGCCGGCTAGGTGTTCTTTCATGCGGACACAGAGGGGTCTACCCGTTTCGCCAATGTATTCGTCACCNTGCCTCGAGAGTTTTTCGCGCCTGTGTTCTTGATTCGCGTGCGAGGATCGTGACACATACTTCGAAGTCGTCTTCGTTATGTCTCTGGGTCCTATGCGTGCCTAGCGGGGTATTTGGTCTATTTTTGCCGGCTAGGTGTTCTTTCATGCGGACACAGAGGGGTCTACCCGTTTCGCCAATGTATT